TTCTTCTGAGAGAATTATTTCCCAAATGTTTGTAGGGGAAGGGAAAGAATTGGTGGAAGTTGCATAGTGTATTTTAGCCTATGATTTTTCAGAAAAAAATGGATGCATTGTCAGGTAAACAGGTAATGTTTAATGTTACTGCTTCAGGATAAAATACTACTGTGTATGAATTTTATGGAATAACAAATAATGGAAGTTGTTTATGAAGAGTTTTGGTGGACGTTTAGATAGTCCAATTACAGCATGTATTGCCTGGCAGATCTTCCATAACTGGTCGATATCTTCTATTTCAGTCTGGTGTCACACAATACAGATAATCACCTGAAGTTTGTGATTAAATTGTGTTGAATAGTATTTTTAAACATTTTTCTATACATGCTCTATCTAGAGCAATACCTTAGGAATATGTGTTTGTATAGGTAAATAAAAATAACAAACAGTTTCTGAGAAGTTTGATTTTACACGGATATATTTGTAAATAGGGACACATTTAATTTTGAACATGTACTGAGAAAAAGTACAATTAAGACGTGATGTGTAGTTGAAGATTGATGTATTACAATATTCTGTGAAGTGTTGAGTGTCTTTGCTAAAAGTCTTATTAGATTATTGGGTGTGTAGAAGGATGGTTTTGAATGGTTGTGGCTATTTCATGAAATCCATATTCTGACTTGTCATATCACAAAAAATATTTTTAAACTGTTTTTATTCTACTATTTTTTAGCCACACATTTACAAAGAATGCTGAAAGAAAAGAAAAAACTTTACTTAAGATTTATTGCTAATATGAGAAGTTCTGTTAGGGGCACAGATTCTAATAGTCCTGTCCTTGTGATGTCCAGCAAGCATATGCTTCCCCCATATGCTTGATTTCTTCTTCCAGCTTACATCTGCCTTGTTGTGCCACAGAGCTCTTGTTGCCTGCTGTCCAGTTGCATTATACAGGAAAAAAACACCACAGTCAGCAGAAAAAAAACTCAAACTCTCAGTGGATAAAGTGGTGTTCTGTCATCTGGTTCACAATCTAGCACCACAGTGTACAAATACTAGTGTCTAGCTGGAAAGTGTGAAGTAAATAATGTACTCTGTCAAAGAAGGAAGTAGAGCTTACTTGGCATTACCTAATTTCCATAAGTTTTTGTTTCTCATATTATGTTTACCAGAATGTCTAGTTTTTAATTCTAAATTTGGTTAAAAGCTTTGCCTACATTAGAGTCAAACTTGTTTGTATTTCCATAGCTACATAATTTAGATTTGAGGTATACCTAACTTATTCTTACTTTCTGCATGATCCTAATTGCTGAAAGCTTGCAGTCATTTGCTTATTCTTTGAACGTATCTAATATATCTGATTTTGACATTCAGCAGCTTTTGCTTTACCTCTGTGCTTCTGGACCTATAGCTGGATATGAATAGAAATCTCTTGATTCTTAGTAGAGAGAGAATAACAGGAATTCTGTTATTTTTATGGAAATGGAGACTCTCAAGATACTCTTCAATACCTGTTACGGGAGTACACACTATCATGTAGTAAATCTAAAGTTGAAATCATAGCTTTTCTCCCCCCATGAATGGTAAAATCTATAATATGGCATTTCACTTGACAGAGCAAGCATTAGTTGCTCTAAAGATGCAGTGATTCCAGTCCATTGCAGCGTTCATGCTGTTCACTGCATTTCTGCATCCTAGCAAACTCCACCACTAGCTCTTCAGCCTCCCAAGGCTGCATTGTGACTCTGTGGAGGGTGATCACCTCAAAATTCATTAAAATAAGGTAATATTGTCACTTTCACAACATTTGTATTTAACGGCCTAAATTTAGATAGCCATGGGTACGGGTGGGTCACTCATGTATGTTCCCATGTCTTGGTGTGTTCCCATAGATAATACCCTATCAGCTCACCACTGAAAAGTGGTTATGATCAGGAATTATGATCAAAAGAAATGTTAGGCTGGGTGTGTTTAATTAACTGTGCAGTTTTTGTCTGCCTTCTGATTGTATAGTTTTAAAAATTAACCTGAAACTCAGATTTCTATAAAAAGTTACTTCTGGAACACTTTTGGACACCATATGCTTCTAAGAGGATAGAAGCATGGCAGTTGGATAATTTATTGTAGAAAGCAGTTAGTGAATTATATTGGGGGAAAAGGTGTTTTTGTTTGTTTTAATTTCAGCAATTAATACGGAATAGTGTTTACTTCAGCAGGTAAAAAAGTCAGCTGCTCCTTCCTTTAGCAGGTGATATTAACAGAAGTAATAATGATACACAATAAACACAATACACCTTTCAGAGAGGTATGAATTGTAAGAATGTTACTAGTGCCTAGTTTGTACTAAAGTTTTCATGGGTTGCAGTCAGTATTGATTGTACTTTTATCAGATACCACAGAAATGTTTCTATGCTTTGACAAGCACTCCCTACAGTGCTGACTGACATGTGTGCTTGTTTTATTTTCATAGGTGTGTTCTGTATGCCTCTGTACATCCCTTATGCCCTGACAGGGACGTGGCACTTGGGACAAGGCCTGTGCAAGGTCTGGCTTGTTATGGACTATCTCGTGTGCACAGCTTCAGTGTTCAGCATCGTCCTTATCAGCTACGACCGTTTCCTGTCAGTTACAAAAGCTGTAAGAATAATTTTTCTAATTTTAGCTTTATATATATTGGAATTTCTATAAAACTCAGAGTATTCACTATTAACACTAGAAGCTAAATAGTCCTTCATTATTGTAGCATTTTTTTCTGAAAAATGATGATTCTTCAGTGTTGCATTGGCACTTAGAGATAAGACATTGCCTTGTCTATAATTTCGATGTTACCCTCCTGCCATCTGCATTAGAATTTATTTAATAACACTACAGAGAAGGTGGGAAGGCCAAGGTAAGAAAGGGACAGCAGGCACGTGGAAAACTTGGGCTTTGGCTGTTAGAAGAGGTGTGACGAAAACTGGATTGAGTCAAGGATATGCTTAGGCTTTATAAGAAGAGGTATGGAGGGAGACGTGGGATGGACTGGGTGAAGATCAGGTGAAGATCTGAATTACCACAGGGGATGATTGGCATGCACTGCCAACAAGCAGTTGAGTGGAAACTAAGCCCTTGAAGCAGAAAGAAGAATGAATCACAATATGTGGAGAGGTAAGAGTTGTTTCTTGAGTGTTGTCATTCTTCTGCTACAGAAGATACCCGAGGTATTCAGTAATAAACATTATCATTCACCATTTCTAAGCTCTATTTGGTGTTTGGTCATAGAATCTTAGAATGGTTTGGATTGGAGGGGACCTTAAAGATAATCTATCCCAGTGCTCCTGCCCCGGGCAGGTGCACCTCCCACTAGACGAGGTTGCTCAAAGCCCTATCTGGCCTAGCCTTGAACACTTCCACACTTCCAGGGATGGGGCATCCACAGTTTCTCTGGGCAACCTGTTCCAGTGCCTCACCACCCTGACAGCAAGGAATTTCTTCCTAATATCTAACATAAACCTGCCCTCTTTCAGTTCCTTCTTGTTCTGTCACTACTTGCCCTTGTACAAAGTCCTTCTCCATCTTTCTTTTTTTTTTTTAAAGTTGAACAGTAAAGTATGAAAATACCTATATTTAAGATACTAATGAAGTTGCAGAGCTCAAAATGTGAAAAATGTAAATTAAAAGGGCCTCTGCAACCCAACTGAGATCCATATTCTTATGCAGCTAGTGATGGTCTTTGTTTACATGATCACGTTCTGGTTTTCTCCTTTAGGTAATTAGAATGGAGTGAGTCCAGGAGTGTGTAACATAGGGCTGTTATCCAAAGAAAAGATACTATGCTTCTTCATAGACTTGGGATCCACTTCTGACTATGCTGCAAACCTGGCTCGTGGCCAGGTGCCAGTCATTTTAGACTTAACAGTTTGTGAAGTTGTGCTGAGCTTCCTATTTTCTGCCTCTGAATTGAGATGCTTGTGGTCTTGCAAATTCATTACTGCAGAACTGGAGCTGCTCACTGAGCCAATATGCTGCTTTGAGATGTAGAGGAGTCTGAATCTTCAGGCTACAGTAAAATAAAATATCTAAAATAATGTGTATAACACCGCACTACTGCTCTGTTACTTGCTGGTGAAATAGGGATGTCATGGTTTGAGATCCCCAAAATCTAATTCCTTAGTCTAAGCCCCCCCTCCCACATCTCAACTCAGTTTAAGATGTGTTTTTCCAGACAATCACACCAGACTCAAAGTGGGGGGAAGGATTATATTACAATGACAGTACACATGAATAAATACTACAATACATTATATACAATATTAATTATCTCTACCATGACATAAGTATTTACAATGGATCAAATCTCTTCTCCTCTCCAAATAAAAGTCCAGGAGGGAAGAAGGAAAGATCCCTTCCAACTCTCAGGGCAGCATCTTCTTCAGAGTAGTAGTCTATCTCTCTCATGCATGCAGCTGTTGCTGGATCTCTGCCAGCACACACGAGGGGATATCCAAGCCCCTTGGCCACTTGTCTTCCAAGCGAGGGGTCCTCCGTGGGCTATGTTCACTCCAGACAAAGGTTGCTCCACCACGGTCATATCAACGAAGCACAGGAGTCTCCGTGACGGTCTGGTATCTTCAGGGGATTTCAAGCCCCTTGTAGAACTTCTGGCTCTGATTCCAAGCTGCTAGCTTCTCTAGAGCTGCAGCAAGGGAGGGCCCAAGGTCCACCTCCCACACATTTCATCCTGGCTGAGCTCTCAGGACGACTGAGCTTCTTAGCTCTTCTCTGCAGTGCATGTCGCACTTCACCCCTCCCTTCTAGGATGTGAGGGGTTTCCAAGGAGTTTTTTGGGGGGGGTCTGGTTCAGTTCTTACCCCCAAAACTCTGTCTCTTAGCTGCTGTCTCTCTCTCATTTCGGGTTTTCTTAGTTGTTTTTTTCTCCCTCTTCTCCCTGAGGTTTGGGGGGGGCGACAGACTCCTTGTGGTAAGGTTTGGAGACTTGGCAGGAAGCCAGCTTCAAACCATATCAAGGGACAATACCCTTTGTGTCATATGAGGCTGTGAAGATACTGTACATTAATATTTGTGTAGCATGCAAGTACTACACTAATGAAGGGCATAGGAAGCTGATGAGGAAGATAATAGTTCTGAGGAAAGCCTGAGATGTCAAATGTTGAACAGAATGGAGGAAATAAAATTGTCCAGCTTTTCATTAACTAATCTTGTTGTGCTCTGAAAGATGCAGGGGACTGAGACCTGGAAGTATGTATTGCACATACTGGCTGGGCTACTACAGGGTGGTTTTAACTCCTCTATTTCCTAACTTTGAATGTCATGATTTTAATTCTTGATATGCTGTCTAGGTAAACATGAAAGCATCAAGATTTTCAGTAATGCAATGAGCTTTTAATAGGTAAAGCAAATGTTAAAATAGAATATTTAAATAAAGCATATGTGTGGGATAGATTTTTCTGCTATGGCAGGAGGAAGCAGTATTAAAAATGATGTTGTCTAGTGTTTGCAGTCTCACATGGCAACCTATCTAATACAGGAAGCTTCTACTTTTGCTGTGCAGGAAGGAATTCCCACAGCTGCTTTTGCTCTCTGCTGAGCCTGGGCTAATGAATCATAAACTGATTCCTTTCTAATTCCTTTACTGAGCAGTGGCAACAAGCTATGTCCTTTCACACCTTGAAGTCAAATTGTACTTTAGCCATCATAATTTCTGCTCCTCTCCAATCCCAAGTGTTAAAATAAGTCACAGAGCTACACTGCATGAAGAACAAGACTAAGAGTTTTTTCAGGACTGTACATAATGAAGATGTTCTAGGTGTCTGGGGAAATTACAGAACAAACATTATATTTGACGTGCTTATGGTTTCTTGGAGACAGTTTTTCCAAAATGCTGTCTGAATATGTGACATCCTTTTCCCTCATAGATATCTTACAGAGCCCATCAGGGAATAACCTCCAACCCTGCCATCAAGATGGTGGCCATATGGATCTTAGCCTTTCTCCTCTATTGCCCAGCAATCCTCTTTTGGGAGCACGTGGTCGGACACAGCGCAGTAGCGGCAGATCAGTGCTACGCCGAGTTCTACGACAACTGGTACTTCCTCCTGTGTGCATCCACCCTGGAGTTCTTTGTGCCACTGCTCCTGGTGATCTACTTCAATATGCACATCTTCCACAGCATCCAGAGGCGCCAGCGGCAAGGCAGTGTGCAGGACTGTGAACCTCCAAGGAGCAGCAGCCTGTCCTGGAGATTTTGCCCTTTGCCAAGATTAGGGGCATCTTCTTCCTCGGAAGCAGAGGACAGTGTTTCATCACTAACGAGGTCGTGGAGACCAGCAGTGATGGCTAACTGTCCATCTAGAACAGAAACCAGTCCTACAGTTCTCAAAAGGAACTTTTTTGTTTCTTTCCATTCAAGGACCGGGTCAAAACTGCAGCGGGACAAAAAAATCGCGAAGTCACTTGCCATAATTGTCTGTGTGTTTGCTGTTTGCTGGGCCCCATACTCTTTATTAATGATTGTTCGTGGGGCCTGCCAAGGAAAGTGCATCCATAACTCCTTGTATGAAGCAGCCTTTTGGCTTTTATGGATCAATTCCTCTTTGAACCCCTTTCTCTACCCTCTCTGTCATATGAAGCTTCGAATGGCTTTCATAAAAATATTGTGTCCCAAAAAGTTTGCAACACTGAGATCAGGTAACACACCTTCTCTTTAGAGAGTTAAAATAAATGTGTTAACAATAAGGTTCCTGTGTTATTTAGTGGTATCTTTTTATATGTATCTTCAGCATTAAAATTCCCACAGTGAGCAATATGCAAGAGAGTGGACTGCCTAATCTACCGTATCTGTCTTTTTCTAAATTTAAAATAGTTCATGCCTGGTGTTGCAGGACACAGTACATGTAAGTTAGTCATTCTGAATGATTTTCAGAGAATGAAATTTTCCATGGAAATGGAATTTTGAGATTGGTTATCAAAATTGTCACAGACATAAATGGTTGTTAGTCTTTTCACCCATACTGTCTTTTGTCCTGACACTCTCTTTGGTCATGCTTAAATGATATTTAGTGCCAGATCTGTGCAGTATTTGATGGCCTGAAAGATAGGCCAGGCTTGGGCACATGATCGCATTCCTGTTGAATTAGCAGAGCAAGCAGTGCTAACTTCATGCTGGATTTATCATTTTGGCTGTCTGTGCGAGAATAGACAATAGCCTCTCCAGTGTGAAGCTTTGCAAGTGCAAAGGTATTCCATCAAAATGTCTGGAACAAATTTGATCCGACAGAGTGATTTTTATACTAGATCAGTCTTTGTGCCCTATTACTGTGACATTAAATGGATTTTCTCTGCCACAGAACAAGTATCAAACTGGATTTTTTTATCAGTGAGGAAGGGCTGTATTCAATGCTTGAGAATGGGATTTACAGAGGTCTGAAAGCTGACACAGAGGTGTCTTAAGCAGCTGTTAACAAATAAAGCAGTTGAATGTGCAGTGCTGAAAGGAGTGGGTAGATGTGTTGGAGAAGGCAATGGAGCTTGATTACAACCCATTCCATGTGCCAAACCTTCTTACCTTGTGTTGAGTGTTGCAACTCACCTAGAAGGCTTTCATGGATGGGTAAGTGAGAGTCACTAGTTAAATTTTTTTCTCTCCTTTTATGTAATTTTCTTCCTCTTTGTGTGTGTATATGCATAGATACAAATGTATAAAATATGGGAATAGAAATCTGATGCACAGAACAATGAAGAGCAGTAATCCATTTAAATAGTTTTTAAATTAATTTGAAAATGGCTGTAGAAGTATTGCAACAGCACAGTACTCCTTTGCAAGCACAATTCAAATGCATATAAGCAGCTTAATCATAGCACAAAAGTTGATGGCTTTGAAGAGCTGAAATGTCATTCTATTCAGAGGTCTGGAACTGAAGACTTCTCTTGATAGTTTTCACACTGGTGGATGATTATCTTTCAACATTCTTCCTCTTTATGCTTTCTTGCTTCACATGGATAGTGTTCTGGATTGTGAACCTGATTTCTAACAGAGCTTCAGGAGGAGGTCATTGATTCAGCACAGCTGTTTTTACTGTCATGAGCTAAGGTGCTGGCATACGTTTTGTGCAGTTTTTCACAGAATCACAGAATCTTTTCTGTGAGGCTTAAAAAATCCAAACACACACACAGAGTTAAAACATTTATAGAATAGCTGGTGCACTAAGCATCTGTTAAACAGATAAACTGAAGGTAGGCCCAAAATGGCAAAGTATTTGAGTTGCCTGGTTTTCTATCCCTATGCTTTTAATATAAATATTCTGTTTGCATTTTGTGATTAAAGAATGTGTTGCTTGTTTTGGAAAAATTACCTACAAAATTATTGACTAGGTAAATTGAATCCACATTGTGCAGTGCTGGGAAACTAGTTTGTCAGGGAGTTTGCCAGGGAGAACAATGTGCAGCAAATTTGAAACAACATAAAGTAGGGAAGCTACTGGAGATCAGTGTTCTTTAGTTTCTGTATTACACACAGTGTTCAAACTGTTTTGTCCCACCATTCCTGTATACTAAAAGAATTTGTTCTATTTTTCTAATTGTTGAAAATTTTGCTTAGTGCTCACAGGGTAGGTCAAGCACTTGTTTGTTTTGCTCACATCATTAAAGCTGTCTTAGTCAAGGTGGCATTGTGAGTCTTCTCCCTATTGGACATTTTCCAGAGTTATGATATTTACTCAGCATCTGTTCTTATAACCTGACTCAAACGGGCTTTGTTTGCCAAAGGGTTTTCTAAGCCAAGTCTCTATCCAGTCACCCATTTCACATCCTTAAATTTTCTTCTGTCTTTGCAGATGTCCAATAGGCCTTGTAAATACATAGTTACAGTCGGTATATGACTTTGTGAGGTTCAACTCAAAATACACCAGTGTTTTTCTAAGTTAACCCTCTCAGGTTTTAAAAAACACCCAACAAATAAAACATACATGTTGGAAGAAATTGTGTTATCTTTTAGTTGTTTTTTTCTTGAACAGGTATTGAATCTGAAGGATTCTCCTAATGTCTATGTCCTTTATTTCCAAAGGAAGGACCACATAGATTTCTCCCTCAGCCCCATGAAGGACTATGATTAAAACTTCAACATTTGATTTATTCTCTAATTTAAAAAGCAAATGACTACTCTCCCCTTGTCCACTAATCTCGTAATTCTGTCAAAGAAAACCACCAAGTTGCTCAGGCATGATTTACACTTGGTAAGTCCATGCTGACTGTTTCCAGTCATCTTTTCATCTCCCAGGTTCTCAGAAACACCTTCCAAGAGGACTCGCTCCATTATTTTCCTAGGGAATAAAGAGAATCTGACCTTTTGTCCTTGTGGCAGCATTTGAAGATGGTTGCAACATTTGTCTTTCTTCAGTTGTTGTGAATCTCCCTTCATCTCCATCACCATTCAAAGGGGATAGAAAGTGGCCTTGTAAGGGCGGTATCTGGTTCTCTTATCAGCCTTGAGTGTAGCCCATTGGGTCCAGAGAGGAGCATAAGGGTGGAAATCCTGAGTTAAGAGTGAAATCAGCAGCCCAGCTGAAGTGCATGTACACCAATGCACGCAGCATGGGTAACAAACAAGAGGAGCTGGAAGCAATTGTGAAGCAGGAAAGCTATGATATAGTTGCCATCATAGAAATGTGGTGACTGGAGACTACCATGGGTGGCTACAAGCTCTTCAGAAGGGGCAGACAAGGTAGAGGTGGAGGGGTGGCTCTATACGTTAGAGTCTCTTGACTCTGTAGAACTTGAAGTCAGTAACAATACGGTTGAGTGCCTGTGGATCACAATCAGGGGGAAGGCCAACAAGGCTGACATCCTTGTGGGGGTCTGTTATAGATCACCCAACCAGGATGCTGAGGGTGATGAATTATTCTACAAGCAGCTGGTGGATGTCTCAAAATCGCCAGCCCTTGTTCTCATGGGTGACCTTAACCAGCTGGATGTCTGCTGGGAACTCCAGACAGCGGAGAAGAGGCAGTCTAGGAGATTCCTAGAGTGTATAGAGGATAATTTCCTGCTCCAACTGGTAAATGAGCCTACCATGGATGGGGCCCCACTAGACCTGCTGTTCACAAACAGAGAGGGGCTGGTGGGAGATGTGATGGTTGGAGGCCATCTGGGGCACAGTGACCATGAAATAATAGAGTTTTCACTACTCAGGGATGCAAGGAGGGCCATCAATAAAACCTCTGTGCTGAACTTCCACAGGGCAGATTTCGGCCTATTCAGAATACTAGTTCAGAGAGTATCTTGGGAAACAGCCCTGGAAAACAAATGGGTCCAGGAGGGATGGACATGCTTTAATAAGGAAATCTTGAAAGCACAGGAGCAGGCTGTCCCCGTGTGCCAAAAGGCGAGCCGGCGGGGAAGATGACTGGCCTGGCTGAACAGGGAGATTTTGAAGGAAATTAGGGTAAAAAAGAGAGCCTACTGATTATGGAAAAAAGGGCTGGCTACTCAGGAAGAGTTTAGGAATATAGTTAGGTCATGTAGAAAGAAAATTAGAGAGATGAAGGCACAACTTGAACTTAATCTCACCACTTCTGTGAAGGATAACAAAAAGTCCTTCTACAGATACATCAATAGCAAAAGGAGGGGCAAGGAAAACCTCCATTCTTTATTGGACATGGGCAGGAATATAGTTATCAAAGATGAGGAAAAGGCTGAGGTATTTAACACCTTCTTTACGTCTGTTTTCAACAGTAAGACAGGTTGTCCTGAGGACATCTGGCTTCTGGAGCTTGTAGAAAGAGATAAGAATCTGAATAGCCCCTCAATAATCCAGGAGGAAACAGTTTGCGACCTGCTGAGCCACTTGGATCCTCACAAGTCTATAGGACCAGATGGGATCCACCCACAGGTGATGAGGGAGTTGGCAGAAGAGATCACCAAGCCGCTCTCCATCAGCTACCAACAGTCCTGGCTCACTGGGGAGGTCCCAGATGACTGGAAGTTGGCGAATGTCACGCCCATCCACAAAAAGGGCTGGAAGGAGGACCCAGGAAACTACAGGCCCATCAGCCTGACCTCAGTGCCTGGCAAGGTTATAGAGCAGATCATCCTAAGTGCAATTACACAGCACCTACAGGATGGACAAGGGATCAGACCCAGTCAGCACAGATTTAGGAAGGGCAGGTCCTGTCTGACCAACCTGATCTCCTTTTATGATCAGGTGACCTGCCTGGTGGACGAGGGGAAAGGCTGTGGATGTGGTCTATCTGGACTTCAGCAAAGCCTTTGACACCATCTCCCACAGCACACTCCTGAAAATGCTGGCAGCCCACGGCTTGGACAGGGACACACTGTGCTGGGTTAAGAACTGGCTGGAGGGTCGGGCCCAGAGAGTGGTGACGAATGGCGCTGCATCCAGTTGGCGGCCAGTCACTAGTGGTGTCCCCCAGGGATCAGTGTTGGGTCCAGTTCTGTTTAATATATTTATTGATGATTTAGATGAGGGGATTGAGTCCATCATCAGCAAATTTGCAGATGACACTAAGCTGGGGGAGAGTGTCGATCATCTGGAAGGCAGGAGGGCTCTGCAGAGGGACCTGGATAGGTTGGAGACTTGGGCTGATTCCAATGGAATGAAGTTCAACAAGGCCAAGTGCCAGGTCCCGCACTTTGGTCACAACAACCCCATGCAGTGCTACAGGCTGGGGACAGAGTGGCTGGAGAGCAGCCAGACAGAGAAGGACCTGGGAGTTTGGATTGACAAGAAGCTGAACATGAGTCAGCAGTGTGCCCAGGTGGCCAA